GTGGTATTCATCCACCATTGCATAATTCTCTCTCTCTCTCTCTTCTGAATATGATATAAGCTTTGCAGCAGACCTTTAGGATTCCAGCAGGAGTTAGTTTGCTAAGTGTTAGATTGATTTGCTTGTCACGGTTAAAATAAAGGCTTCTGCAAAAGCACTTTGCAGCCTGCAATGGAAAAGCAGAGAGATGTCCTATTGCCCTCCTGAGAATCCATAGCTGTCATTAGTAGAGAAGGAGCCACTTGTCATGATGTCACATCTCTGTGTGACAGACCCCTGGCTGTAAACATCTGGAAATTGTTTTTGAGAAACGTCTCATCAAGTCTTTGGTCCCTGTGATGAGGCTGATCGACTTCATTTCTCCCCAATTTCCAGACTTTTCACCAGATGCTGTGTCAGCAGTGTGGAAAGGAACAGCACAAGCAATATCAGTTCTACTAGAGATGCTAAGCATGAAAAAAAAAAAAACCACAGTGCAGCAGTTAATCAAGAAATTGGAAGGAAAGTAAACAGATTAAGACATTGGGATAGGTGGAAAAATACCTCTCAGATGATTTTGTCAGAAAGAATAGAATGGCTCATAAAAGAACTGCTGCTAACCCTTGAGAAAAAAATGTAGAACATTTTTCGATCAAACCCCTTCCAAGTGAGATTTTTTTTTGTACTGATGTTAGCATGAAGATTAACAATTTATGAAAGAAAAACGGGGTGCCTAAATTTCCAAAGACAATCTAGTGATTTTTTAAAATTTGCATGTCACTGTTGCAAACACCATTTGTTTTGTTTGGACATGTACACCTCAGTCTGTATACAAAAAGTATATAAATGTGGTTCCTGTGAAAGGAATCCAGAACAGAATTGCTCTGTTTCTTTTCTTCTTTCTTTGAGCAACTCCATTGCTGTCAAAGGGAGCAGCAGCAGTAAGGAAAAAAAAGAGTGTTTCAAGAGAAAACTACTGACCTTGGAGTTCTCCTAAATATCTTATGTTTGATGCAAGGAATCTGCCTTGTCAAATCTTGTTTTATAGCATTTTTGTCTTTATTCAAAGGAAAGAACATTTGAATTCAGTGGCAGCTGAATATGCACCTTGAGCAAAGATTGCATATTTAAACTGAAAGGTGTAGTGGAAAATGATGTGCATCGGAGGGAGGGAGGGAGAGAGAGAGAGAGAGAGAATGACTTAGATACATATTGCCTCAACAATTGAGAAATAAGAGCATTGCAGCTGTGATTTTGCCCAATGGAAGAAAAGGAAAGAATTTTAACAGAAATTGATGAGGAAATCAGGGGAAAACAAAATAAGGCTTGGTCTGACACAGATTTATGAGTGAGGAGCTATATGTCCTACTTATTTTAATTTAAAAAATGTTCCACTTAAGAATGAGAATAGGAAACACAAAATTTATAATGAGGAAAGGAAACAGTTTCCGAATGGCCGAAATAAATTATCCAAATGTTTTTTTACCAGAGATTCCTTCCTGCCTTTTTACGACAATGATTTACAATATGAAATTTTGAAATACCATGGCCATCCCCAGAAGTATATAATTAATTTTTCCATGAGAATAATAACGCAAAGAAATGTTCTGGAACCTGGGATCCATGTTTCTTTTCCGGGTTTGGGAACAGATCTTTTTTTTTGTTGTCACCAACATAGCTTAGCTTTCATATGTAAAGCAATACAGACATTTGTCATACCATTACATGAGAACTGAAAGTGACCAAGGAGTGATTGCACTTTCATTTGAGATGCATTAAGTGTGGCTTAGGTCTGCCTGTTGCAATTTATATAAACAGCAGCCAGTTCATTTCACACAAGACATTTTATTGGTCAGACAGCATTCTGAATACCCTTGACTAGCACCTTTTTATTTAAACACATCAAAACATAAATCATACTAAGGAACACCTGGCTGATTTTTTGGGGGGATCATATTTCAGAATAATCTTTGTACTCTAGATATTCATTTTATCACTAAAGATCAGAACTCAAGATTTCCATTTTTTTAAAACTAAAATCTGGCTAAGTAACCATGCTAGAGGCAGAGAGAGAAATACCCATTCATTTCCATAAACTACAAGCTGTACCAGAAATATTTTTTTTACTCTAGAAGTGTTAGACTGAAATCCATAGTCTAAGTAATATTATCTCTTCTTCAACACCTGTATTTATCAAGAACTGGTTGAAAACATTTTATTTTTACTTTGAGACTCATGTGTGATGCAGTAAACTGTAGATGCTTAGGACCATATGACCTAAGGCTGCTAGCATCTTTACATTGGACAGATGCTCATTGGTCCATTTACGCCAATTCAAGTGGATCTTTTCAGTGTGCTTTAGGCATCCAATCAGTCTTGTAATAGCTTTAGCATGTGTTTAGATGAAGATTCAATGCCTCCTGAGAGGTGACTACGTGTTTGTATCACAAGCCATTACATGTTATTGGGCAGTCACTTAGAGTACACTAAGCTGTTTGTGAGGTTCTTTCAACAGAGACAAAAGTACTAAAAAGATCAAAGCATGTTGGCTGAGGTGGCTCTACCTTCTTCTTTTTTTTTTAACTGTCTAGGAAAGTACTGCAAAGGAGGAAGCAGCCAAGAATGACTTAAACTGCCCATACAAACTGGAGGATTAAAACCATATGACTTTGAACTCCATAGTCTCTTGGTACACCGTCAGACAAGAAAAGCAGACTCTTGTTTATTTTACAGTTTAACAGACACAAAGAGCTTTAATTAGGACATTCTAGAGGAATAATAACCCATAGGATAAAAAAAAAGTCTGTTTTACTTATGATTTAAAGACAGATTTGTGGAACATGCCCAAGACATCTAACTTGAAAACTGATGGATAAAATTAATAAATACCAAAACTGTCCATCTTGATCACACTACAGAATGTAGAGAAATCCTCCTGGAATTTTATACAGATGAAATCATGTTAACCATGTACTATGCATAACGCTAATGATTATGTTAAAAAAAAATAGATGTTTTTCTTGGAAATCAATATAATAGCCTGCTATACTATTGTTTGTAGGACTTCAGTTAGCTAAAAAGATCAGCCAAATATATTTCATTAAAAGATACAGCTTCTCATTGCTAGTAGACATAATAACACAGTTATGGAAAATGTATCACCAGGCTGCAAGAAAGAGGACCATTATCCAATATAATAGGCTAAGTATTGTAAATACTTATTTTTTTTAATCATGGGGGAGGGGTTATCCCAAATGAATAGTTCTTAATCAAAACAAATTCTGTCTTATAGTTATGGACCAGCATAATACTTAATAAAAGAAAGTTACTGGCAAAATTAGTGTTTTTGATTGACATATAAATTCAAATTATTCAAGTAGAATAGTACACAGAACATAGAGTATAGAGTTGGAAGGGACCATGGAGGTGTTCTAATCCAATCCCCTGCTCATGCAGGACACGCTATACCAGCAAACAGCTGAGAAATTATTGCCCAGTCTTTTGAAGGCCTCCAGTGATGGAACACCCACAATTCTGAAGGCAGTCTATTCTGTTGCTTGATAGTTTCTCACCGTTTGGAAATTTCTCCTTAGTTCTAGCTTGTTGTCTCCTTGATTAGTTTCCATCCATTGTTTCTTGTCTTGTCTTTTGGTGCTTTAGAAATAGTTTGACTCCTTCATCTTTGTAGGAGTCCCTCAAATATTGGAACACTGCTATCATATCTCCCCTAGTCCTTCCCCTAGTCTTAGACATACCCAATTCGTGAAATGTTCTTTGTGTGTTTTAGCCTCCATCTCCTTAATCATTTGTGTTGTTTTTTCTGCACTCTTTCTAGAATCTCAACATTTTTTAATATTATGGTGACCAGAACTGGATGCAGTACTACACGTGTGGTCTTACTATGGCTTTGTAAAGCGGTACTAGAACTTCATGTGATCTTGATTCTATCCCTCTATTAATGCAACCCAGGTTTGCATTGACATTTTGGTTGCTGTCCCAGTTAGCTCATATTTAAATGATTGTCCACTAGGACTCCAAGATGCCTCATACAATTATTGGTATTAAACTAAGTCTCACCTACTTTGTACTTATACAGTTGGCTTTTCTTGCTTAATTGTATAGATGAATAAAAGCGACTAGGAAGACTCCTAAATCTGTCTTGCTTTAACAGAACAAGCCTGCGATAATAATTTCTGATATTTTTTTCTTAAATGATGACCTAATTATAAATAGATTTTGGATACTGTTGTTTACATTTAGCCAATACATGACAAAGTTATACTATGGAGCCAGTGGCTGGGCTGATTTGTACAATCAAAATCAATTGGCTGTATAGAGATTTAGGTTTACCATTACTCTGTCAAAAGTAGTGGACTTTTCAAACAATACTCTTGTAAATTGGAACTGTTTCTCAAAGAAATGACCTCAAAATTTTATAATCCACTGTGCATTATCTCTATTTAAAATGCATTTGATTTCAACTGCACATAGTTCTAATAATAAAAGGGGCAGCAACTTACAGCAGAAAAAAAATCACGGAAATAAGTTTCTTAAATTTTGTCCCTCAGACATGGCAGATCCTACAGTGAGGTAAATGAGACAGTCTGTTCAAGCTGGTTATGCTAGAGATAGGATAGTCAACGGGCTTATTTGATGATAAGAGTTTTTCATCAGGAAGTTTGCAGCAACTTAAGTTCCTCAGTTGTAGTATAATGTGAGATGTTGTCCTGTTTCCAAATTACAGTGTTAGCTGCCCCTTCATCCATTTTCTGAAATTGGTTCCTACCTGTTTCAGACAAAGAAATCCATGATCTCAGGAATGTATAATATGCGCATTTCCACTGAAGAATGTCTCCTGATTTTTCTTCATAGAAATAATATAATATAATATTATATATATATATATATATATATATATATATATATATATATATATATATATATATGTATGTATGTATGTATGTATGTATGTATGTATGTGTATATGTATATGTATGTATACTTGTCACTTTCTTTTCCAGATCCAAAAGACAAGAATCCACTTCTGTCATTTTAATTCAAGCAGAAAAGTCATCATAGGAGAAAGAGCTAAGGAGTTTCTCCCACTATTGTGGTTCAGTGCAAATTGCAGCCTCTTGAACCTCATTTTCTTGGGTTGGTTTGCTTGCTTGCTAAGCAATTACCACCAATGACAAGTTCACTTGCTATTTAGCCTGCAGGCACCATAATAACGATGTGGAGACTCTGAAAACATGCTGCAAGAAACTTTTATAAACATCACTTACTGCTGACTTGAAGATAAACTTGCTTGACAGCTAAACTTTCTTCATGTGCAAGTTATACCAAATGTAACATGATTTATTAAAACATCACTTATTTAAGTGGGCTGCAAAGGAGGGGATCAAATGTTCTTTTATCTTAAAATTCTGTATCAAGAAATGTTTACAATCCTCCTGAACTGGCTCTTTCTTTATTTCTTTTTTCTATAAACAGCATCTTTTCCCAATTATCTGCTTAACTGTAATCTATAAAATCACTCCAGTTAAAGTAAACCATATGTATTTCATAAAAGTATGTATGTGTGACATATATAGGCTAGGTTCCTTGGCCAGCTTAAGTGTTCTATCCGTAAGGCCCAAGGGTGAAGAGAAAGCGATGGCTACTTGCCATTTTTCCATTCTCTGCGCCTGGACAAGCCTTAGAAAAATCTAACATCATGATGTAATGGAGACAAGGAAAGAACTCTATTAGTCTCGGCTTCCCAAATGTAAATTAAATAAATAAATAGCCATTTGGCTCCCCAAACTCAAACAGTGAGGTTGAAAAGACTTACATCATCGACACATCAGGAATGAAAGTTATTCGGAACTCAGCAAATTCTTCCCTAACTGAGATATTAAACGTGGAGGCTAAAGGTTGAGATGGGCTCTTTCCCCATAACTGGGATAGAATTCATGGCAATACCTCCTGCCATGTGCCCCCTAAAATGATGGTGGTATAATCCCCACTCTTTTGTCTAATTTCCTTGTTACAAACTCTTTGGTAATCAACTTTTTAAAATGCTGAAAAAAGAATTCTGAAGCAAAGATCTGAGTAAATTTCCTATCCATTTACCTGCTCTGATCAGTTTTTAATATTTCACAGTTTATTTGATCTACACGTTCCTTAATAACATCACAAAGAATACTAACTTAAGCACATTAAAAGTTTCTATATCATCTGATTTTAACAGGCTTCTCACAGAAGCCTATCAAAGTGATATTGCTACTCTCCGTAAATAGCTGCTGGGCATCCTGGTTTCCATGTCTTGGAGGATGGACAATGAGGAGACCCTGGAAAGTCCTTCAGGCAACATGAGACTGCATGAAGCCAATGTTGCTCACCCTTGAATAGTGAGTCCCACTTCTAGTGTAATGAGCCAGTTACAATGTGATTTCTATGGTATAATGAGGCTAATAGGACAGAGCTATTTAACAGAATCTGAATACAAGCTGTGAAAAAAGTGACTCAGAACTGTTTTTCATACTTATGACCATTGTAACATCCCCATGGTCATGTGATCAAAATTCAGATGCTTGGCAACTGATTGGTATTTAGGATGGTTACAAGACCACCTTTTGTGACTCTCTGACAAGCAAAGTCAATGGGAAAGTCAGATTCACTTAACAACTGGGTGACTGATTTAACAACTGCAGTGATTCATTTAACAAATGTGACCAGAAAGGTCATAAAATGGGGGCAAAACTCACTTAACAAATGTGTCACTTAGCAACAGAAATTTTGGGCTCAATTGTGGTCATAAATCAAGGGCTACCTGTAATCTGGTCAGGAACAAGTCCTGAGTCATGGTAGATGATGCACTCTTTCCTCTCAACTGATTGCAGCCAAGCCTACAATTCTGGGGTTTCCTTGTGGTCTCCCACCCAAGTACTAATCAAGTCCAATTCTGCTTAACTTTTTCCCAGATCATTTAATGTTGTCTAGGGCATCTACTATGGCAATTTGCTAAGAAGCATCCAAGGAAGACCAGCCACATGAAAGCAGTCAGTCTTCACATTTGGGTGTAAACATCTGTAAGATATGTGCAGTCAGTCATTATTATGTAGCATACGTGTGTCCGTGTCTTTCACAAACTACGATTACCTAAAACTGTTTTCTTAGGATAAACTGTCACATGAAACATTATGATCTAAAAACAGTTGCTTGATGGTTTGCTTCACTTTTTTTTTTTATAAAAAGGGCATCTTTCTAGATCAAAAAACTACAGGATGATGTTTCTTATCTGAATGTATTCTTTATAGGATTGTAAATGGAATAAAATTACTCGGATACATAGTATATTCCTCACTCAGAAGATAAAGATAGTAACATTCGACAAGGTAAATGCAGATTTTAAAAAATGAGAATGAAACCAGAAGCATTTTAAAAAGTTTTTAATGAAACAAATAATTTAATCGATTAAGTAAACCAATTTTGACTAGAAAAGGCAGTCATTCAATAGAATAGGCATACTTACTTTCTCACTGTCTGAACATTAGCTGTAGTAAAAATATAGTTAAAATTTTTCTGTTTATTCTTTATTCTTTATTTTTTATTGACCAGGTGTGATTGGAAACACAAGGAATTTGTCTCACACAAGGAATTTGCATTTATTTTTTTCCATTTTTGAGAATATACCTTTAAAAAGTGATTATTTTGAGATGAATTTAACCATTAGTTAATCTAGTTCAGTGATGGCAAACCTTTTCGGCACCAAGTGCCGAAAAGGGAGTGTGTGCGTGCACTTGTCGGGGCTGCAACCTGGAAGAGCTGCCCAGGGCGCATGTGCACACCTGAAAATGAACTTCCGGTTTCAGCTACTGAACTTCTGGTTTCAGCCAGCTACTCTTCTGGGTTTCTGGTGTGCATGCACATGCGATGATCAGCTGGCCGGCGCGCATGCTCACGCAGGAAAACCGAAGACCAGCTCTTCTAGTTTCCAGCAGTGCTGCATGCAAAAATGCCAACTGATTGTCACGTGCACATCAGTGGTGGGTTTCAAAAAATTTTATTATTGGTTCTGTGGGTGTGGCTTGGTGGGCGTGGCATGGCTTGGTGGGCATGGCAGGGGAAGGATACTGTAAAATCTCCATTCCCTCCCCATTACAGGTTAAGGTTACTGCAAAATCCCCATTTCCTCCCAATCAGCTGGGACTTGGGAGGCAGAGAATAGATGGGGATGGGGCCAGTCAGAGGCGGTATTTACCAGTTCTCCGAACTACTCAAAATTTCTGCTACCGGTTCTCCAGAACCGGTCAGAACCTGCTGAAACCCAGAAGAAGAACGGGCGATGCCGCACATGCCAGGCAACATGGCTCCACATGCCACTTTGGGCACGCGTGCCATAGGTTTGCCATCACGGATTTAGTTTATCATACTGGTTGACTAGCATGGACATTTATTAAGCTGAATAGGGTGGGATTGCCCTAGAATAATGATAAATCCCCATTTCAAAATCTAGAGAAATATTGTATTTAAATAAGTAAGCAACTCAGCCAGTCTGTAAGTTATTTTATATTGTCCAGACATAGGTTGATGTAATGGTTTTTATATCATAAAACTCTACCAAAGATCCTGTGTCTCCTCAACTTGCACATGAAAAGTTCGCTTTTTACAAGAAGGACATTTATCTGTTTACAAGCCCTCTGCTATAGTATTTACTGGTTGCAGTAAGTTTTCAGTAGATAAAGTTTGCAATAATACTGTGAACTATAATTATTTCATCATCAGGAAATATGGGTTATGCATGAGAAGCCTGTGGTTACATTTTACAAACTCACATCTCTGTCAAGTTAAAGACTTCTTCTGTTAGGTTCTGTGATACCTTTGGGAGAAATTCATTTCCTGATTTATAGTACAGCAGCTGTCATTTCTTGGCTGCTTAGTTTGAAAAGAAGTATAAACGCATTTTTGTGTTGATGTGTTATAGTCAATATTTCCAGTACATTTGCAGACAGAAAATATTGAACAAGGTATATTTCTGCAAACCATTTGAACAGTTATTATTTAATAGAACAAAAAGATTTTTAAAAATCTTTTGTAGCAAAAACAAGAATCTTATTGCACCTTAAAGACTAACACATTACCTCACATACCCATGAAATAATAAATGTCAGTCTTTAAATGCCATAAGATCCTTTGTGGTTTTAATTGTTTTTTTTTTAAGCAAACAAACCCAACTCACTGAACAACTGGCCAATTTATAGGGTTAGACATTTGCAGTTTGTGAATCTTAATCCTTGTTGTGACTTTGTGTCATTATAAAGCATAATGACTAAACTGTACTTTTACCCCATGTCTATCCTTATCTGAATTGCAGTTATTTTTTATTTCATGTTAAAGTCATTTAGATACGGGACTATGGGACAATATTCATCACCTTGCCCTGGACTTCCTGAATTGAATTCCATTCATGGGGTTCTCCTGCAGGAAAAGAGGAAGGCAAATGGTTGTCCCCCCCCCCCCCTGATTCAGAAGCGTTTTGAAAAGTTGCTCCAAAGGGATTTATTTTCAGTTCCTTTCCTATCATTGGAGAATATGAAATTAATCTTTCTCCCAGATGTTCTTCAACAGGTTGATCTTTGCCACACTTTGACTAGTTCACACATATTGCAGTCACTATCAGTTCAGGCCTATTGAGGTGCCATGCATAAACTTTTACAGCAAAGACTTATTCTTTTATGCACTTGATAATATGTAACTGTGATGGCCCATCAGTGGACTGTGCAGATTGTAGCTGATTCTGACAACGAGGAGGCTGGTGTGCTGCGCCAGCAGCCTGTGCAGCTGGCGCTCGAGTCGGACAGTGAGGAGGCTGGAGAAGATGTGGTGCCAGAGGCAGGGATTCAGCCAGGGCATTCAGAACCTCCAGAAGCTCCTTTAAGTGAAGAGGATGAAGAAGAGGAGCCTCTTCTCAATGGCTCCTCCGTGCTGAGCTGCCAAAAGGCAGGAGTGGCTCCTCAGGAGGAGGTCTCCTTGAGAGTAAGGCTTGGGGCTAATTGGCCACTCCCTTAGCCTATTTAAGAAGGAACACCACTTGCAACAAGCTGTAGAGAACAACTTTAGTTCACTCTCCTTCGTGTCTGCAAAACTGCTTCTGGGCTTTCTGCCAACTCTAGTAAGACTGTGATTACCTTATCTTAGAATTCTGGTAGGCTGTTAAGACAGTTCATTAACAGCCTTTGAATGATAAAGACTACATTATTTTGAGTAAAAGCTTTGTATAGAGTTTCTGTGTGCTGTGTTCTTTGGGGTCCATAGCTGGGGCAGAACAGTAACAGACATTGGCTAGAAGATCATGGCAAACTGCTACCATATTGTTGTCAATAAGACAACATGGGCA